TGAGTGAGCTTAAAGCCCAGGATTAGGGCCCTGAAAATTTGGGTCCATTTGCCCAATGAGGAGCCATTTCTGACTTACTCAAAGCATAAAGAGGAAGCAAGTAAAGAAAAATGGAAAAAGCCTCAGGAGTGCAAGTGTTTTGAGGGTAAAGAGAGAAGAATGTCAGCCAGACTCCCCCAAGTCGAAAGGAGGCTGGGGGGGGGGTGAGGTAGGGTTGGAGAATCTCGGTGCTCAAGGCTTTTCCATCTGATCAGTGTGAGGGATGAACCACTGACCTGCTACACAATTGCTGGATTTTATAAATTACACTTTAAAAACCATTCATTTGCATCTACCATAAAGATGAAAGGAGATTCCAGGGATGCCTGGCTGGCTCAGTTGGTGGAACATGCGATTCCTGATCTCGGGGTTGTGAGTTCGAGCCCCATGTTGGGTGTTTAAAGATTATTTAAATAAATAAGTAAATCTTAAAAAAAAAAAAAAGATGAAAGGAGACTTTGTTAACTTAGGAAAACAGCCAATTTGGGGAGAAACACAACACATGCGAGGTGCTTCCATATATATCTCGTTAAACACAAGTTTTCAAATAGGCAGGTTTTGGTATCCCCATTTTTATAGGTGAAGGAACTAAGATTCCATTTCAGTGACATGCTCAAGATCTTATCGAGAACTTGATCAAGGCACTAATGTGTTTTGGTCCCACCAAGGTTCTGGATCTGCTCACTCAGGCTGCTCCACGTAAGCATCAAAACCAACCAGAAAAGCCCTGCACAGAGCTAGGAAAGGAAGGGGCCAAAGGACAATGACGTACATTCCCCACCGAGTCCTGTAGCTCCCCCGGCTCCCCTAGCATTCATACCATGATCCCCTCAACCAGGACATGTATCCTCCAAGACTTACAAGACCAAATAAAAACACCCAACTTCTCAAACCCACTTGAGGGAGGCTCCATCATCTTACCCCCCCTGCCCCCCGATTGTTGTCTTCTGCCTGGATAAGGAAATGAGTAGCATTCTGCCTCCACAGGCCCCCTTCTCCAGTGGCATGGCCCATTTGGTCACTCTGAGACTCCCACCTAGATGGGAACAAATACCAGTTACATGTCCCTGATCCCACTCAAATGTGCCCCCCAAGGCCTGGAAGTATGGCCGCGCCTGGATTCTAGAGACAAATACTACACGGGGAAGAGGTAGGTGGGCCCAAGGATGCCCTCAGGCCCTTCTCCCGAAGGGTCTGTCCTCTCTTGCACCTCCCCAATCTCAGAATTTACCTCAACAGGTAAAAAGAACCCTGGGCTGAAACCTGGAGAAAGCACATCTTGCTGTGCCATAGGCAAAGGAAAGGTCATGATTAATTCATTCTTCTGGCACTCAACTCTCCAGAGAGTGGGGCAAAGAACAGAAATGATATTTGTATTGGGATTTGTTTTCTCAAAAACCAATCTCCAGAGGCTGTCCCAGAGTGGATTCCACAATGACGCTTCTGCACTCCTATAAATCATAATTTGTCCCTCTGCTAACATCACCCAGAGACCACAAAGTCCTAAACTGTCGATGGAAGGACAACAATATATTCACCACAGTCAACTCACAAGGCAAAGGGCAATCAGGGCAAGATAGCCATTCATTACATCTTAGAAACACACTTGTATCAGCAACAGTTGAAACAAATTTTTTAAACTTAGGTTTAAGCATATATTACTTAGAGTACTTCATTTCTTAAGTATCCTAGTTCATCAAGTGCTACTGAAAATCACATAGGCAAACTATAATTTTCTCCTTGAGCAAAATCCTATTGGAATAGAGCTGATTTCAACTTTCCTATAATAATACATTCCTGAAAAACATGTCTGAAGGGCAAAGGTCTAAAACTTGAACAGTAATCATAGATATTCTTAGAAGGGGATTCTCTTGCAAAGAGCCTGGATCTCATCATCACGGATCATGGAGGCACTGCCACGTGCTGATGGGGAAGGCCGGTGCCAGTGAGGAATCCCTAACCTTAAGCTTTTTTAGCTTCACAGAGAAATCTATCCATGGGTGTAGAGTTTACACAGTATAAAGAAAATGATGCCGTTTCCTAGCAAAACTTACCAGAACTGTTGAACCTAATAAGTACATGAATTAATTGGTTCAAGTTTCCAATAGTTGGTGAAGGATCCCTGATCAATAATCTAAACAAAGGATGACTCCTGTTTCTCAAGATCAAAGAACAGTCATTCCAGAGGCTAATTCAAGATTGATCATCAATTCCACCAGCAGTGAGAAATGTATAAAATTAAAGAATGGAACTACACATCACCCTTTTGGTCTTTAGAAGTAACTTTCAACATGCTCCTGTTTCAATTGTTTAAATTCCTCAACACAAACTCCACCCAAATTCGATTTCATTCTTATCTGAAACATTTCTCATTATCTTAATAAGTAGAGACTTGCAGTAACACCCGTGATAGAAATCTGAGACATGGATGCTTTCCGAGTCAACCAAATCTCTAAGGATGCTATCTAGACAACAATTCTAATAATTAACCAGAAGGTCCAGAGTGTTAGCATTTCTCAAAGTAATATTTAATAGTTAATTCCATACTAAAATATGGAAAGTTTTAGAGTAAAACAACCAGTGGATCATTTCCCCCTCACTTGATAACAAGTTAAGACAACCTGCTTCGTCTTACTACCCTGCGATCCTGAGGCTCCTGAGTCAGAATGAGCCACTTATGGAAATGAAATAATCTCTGACCACAGGACCCTGAACTTTGCAGGCCAGGAGCCGTGCCAACTGTCAGGCCAGAACTATGAGATAATGGATATTTCAAAATGTCTGTCCCATCTCAGAGCCTGGCCACCACTCTCACACCAGCACCTCAGCATCCCAGAGAGACACTGAAGTGAACTTCGCTGCCAGAGAAACATCTCAACACCTAACTGCACGCAGTCTGCTAGGGAAGGGACTGCGAGGCCCAAGGAGGATTACTTTCATTTTTCTTGGCTCCTAATTTTATTAGTGCAGCCCCAAATAATTGCAGGACCTACATAACCCAATGGGGTACCCACCCAAAGGAGAAGGTGCCCTTGGAGCAAACAGCCTGTGTCAAAACTGGGCAGGAGAAAGCCAGCCGTGGACAGCTATTTAGAAAGTATGTCAGGGCAAGTTTTAATTTTTAAAGGCTGTATGTTTAACAAAACAGAGGAAGCTCCTTCAGAGATATACATCATTTTTAGACATGCTTACTCTGAAATTTTATTGATCAAGGTTGGGGATGCTGCCAGGCATCCCCATTTAATTAAATTAGGACCATTTCCAGGAAGAAAATTGTGATGCTTAAGTGAACTCTCTTTAATTAGAACACAACCAGGGAAAGAAATCTCCTGGGTTACAATGGTGGGCGTTGGCCTCCAGATGCCAGTGAATACTGAAGAGGGAAGGTTGCTTCCCCTGAGGAACTTGTTGGCAGATTCGAAGATGAACTCTACAGAGATGTATAGTTGTGTGTTATGTGTGTGCGATCTCTTTTCAAAGGTAGATACATTTAAGGGGCGGGGCGGGGGGGGGGGGGAGGAAGCTTGCCAAATTATTGGCTCTGCACTTAAAACTGCTGCAGAGAAGGGTAGAGATTTGTCAAAGTCTGACCACACAGCCTCTCGGCGCCAAACCAGTACCACCCCACGCGGGAAACTGGGTTTACTGGGTCTGGAGAGACAACCCACCCACCATCTCTCCAAACAAGTCAACTTCCTTTCGACGCCCCCTTTTTGAGGATTAGGGAGGGATCCCCAGGGCTGGCGAGCGTCTGCCCTGAGGGCAGCGAGCTCAGTAACCCGCTGCCCGTCCTGCTCCTCCTCACTCCCCACTGCACACAGCCGGCCCTCAGCCTTCAGGGCCCCCCACCCGCCCCGCCTTCCTCCGCGGGTTCCCGGGCTCCCAGCACTCACGGACTTCGATTCAGTCCCCGTCCTCCACTACGTTTCTCCAGAATTTCTCAGGGCCGCCAGGATCTCCTCGCTCTCGTCCCTGAGGGCACGCCACCCCCCACCCCCCCATTACCGGCACCATTTGCCCAGCGCTCACCACCACGATCCACCCTTCCTCTCCCAAACTGTCCCCACAAAGGACCAAAAGAGACGTACCCTGGGCTTTATCCAGGATAAAAGAGCGGATCCTAGCAGCCGGGGTCTCAGCCTCAGGCCAAACTTCCAGGCTCAGCGCGTACCCCTCCGTCCCCGCGCAGAGAGGCTGCCCTCTCGGCCCGCGTGGTCTCTGGAGTGCAGTTCGCAGACCCAGTCCGCAAGGCTCCGGCTGGTCGGGGAGCCGGTCCTCCCCGGCCTCGGACTCCCGGCGCAGCCCCTGAGCCCCCCAAACGCCCCAGCGCTGCCATTTAAGGACCCGCGTCTTCCTCGGGAGCTGGAACCGGTGGCTCCATCCTCTGCTGCTCCCGGGTCCCCAGGGGCGGCCACGGCCATTAGATATTCCCCGCTTTTCCTGTACAGCCCGTGTGTGTGTGTGTGTGTGTGTGTGTGTGTGTGTGTGTGTGTTAGGGAGCAGGGGAAATGGTCCTAAGTTCATTTTAAAAAGCACATATGAGTATTGAATAAAGCAGCCAAAGGCTCGGCCCTCCCCCAAACCTAGGAATTCAAAGCCACATGGCCACAGCCCTTTCCAGCCAAGCCCCCTCCCCGCACACGCTCCGCTAGGCAAGGCCATAAAAGCCCTTTTAAAGTCCGCGATCCTTCCGAGGACTCCCCAGATCTGCGGCCGCTCCCGGGCCTCCCTCTCCCCACGCCTGAGGCCCCCACATCAGGGGGGCGCTCTGGGGACGCGGTGTCGGGGGTCGCCGCGCCCCCGGCCTGGGCCACCCACCTCTGGGCGCGGGATCCCGGGGGACGCGGTCCTCGAGCTCCCCTCCCGCTCGGCCCCTGCCTCCTCGTTGGGGCGTCCGAGACGCTCCGGCGAACGCGTGCGGCAGCCCGGGACCCGGCCGAGCGCGTCTGCCTGGAGCCGCGGCCGCGGGGCGAGCTGGAGGGCTGGGAGCGCCGCCCGTCGGCTGCCGGCCCCGGAGCCCGCCCCCTCCCCGCCCCTCCCCGCGCCCGGCGCCCGCGGGCCGCCCCTCCGCTTCCATGCCCTCCCCATGCACCCACACCTCTCTGTGGCTTCGGCGGAATCCAAGCCCAAACCGAGAAACCACGAAATGAGTGAATGCATAGATTGGAGGGATGGCGAGATGGGTGAATAGAGGGACGGGCCAGCGAAGCCCTGTTATTTCCTAACTGGGGCGAGGGCTCTGTGTCTGGGGATGAGGACCTGTGTCAGCGTACGGGTGGGCGTGTCGGCGTGTGCACATGCGGACGTGTGTTGGTGTACACATACGTGAGTATGGGCAGGTGGAACCGTGTGGGTGCCCGTGCGCGCTCGCAACGCCAGGAGCTGCGAGGAGGGAGCGATCCTTCGTTTCTTACCCAGCACCACGACGGGCCCCGGGTAAGTACCACCGCTGGCAGCGGCTAGGAAGTGCGTCTTGGTGACAGGGATGGGGTCTCCCCGTATTTGGGGCCTCCCCCGATATGGCCCAGAGGCCGAGGCGTGGACAGGGCTGTTTCTGGCTCTCCGGCTAGCCAGAGCCGTCACACTGCCCTCCCCGTTGTGGCAGCCGGCCGCCTGGTGTCAAAGCGCGTGTTAACAAAGCCAGCGGTGGGGAAGGAGGCAGCTGATACACAAGGTGCGGCTCCCTTGGGCCGGTGGCCGGCCATCCCTCACTCTGGAGCGGTCTGAAATTTCAGTCTGTAATCCCCTCCCCCACCATGAATATTTAACTAATGTTAATGACCCTTTGGAAAGGGACTGTCTCAAAATCCTCAGAGGACACACACAGAAAACACCCCACACTGAAAGGAGCATGTTTAAAAAGCAAGCGCTTATCTTCCTCTGCTCGACCTCTGCAGAGGAAAATAATATAAAGCCAGGTTTCTTGAATTCAACTTTCCACTAGCAATGATGGGGGTTTTCGTTTTCCAATTTTTTTCCCTCCAGCTTTGCAGGTCAGAACCCCATTGCTCTCCTTTGAGTTTCCATGCTAGGTAGGCCTGCTTCTTTCTGAACCCCTGGCCAAGGTCCTGGGGTCCTCTCCGGAGAGTCAATTCTGCATGCCAAACTCAGCAGGAAAGACAGCTGCCAGTCCCGTTCTTCTTTACTAATCCACAAAGGTCCTTGATCTCCCATACAAAGAAATGATATCATCGGGAAGTGCTCAGCAAGCCTGTCCACGCTAATGACACGTTTACAACAGCACCCTCCGGAGAAAAGGCATCTTTCCTGTCTTGAGCTTTATTCACACCTTTACTGGAGGGAGGGGCTAAGTCCACAATGGAGATGTCTGTTGTTCTCCTCGGGGTTCCTGAATGTCAATAGGCTTCTTTTTCTTGCCACTTAGGAATTGTTTCAGCAGCCTTCGGGTAGGTCTCCACTCTTGATTTCAATAGAATTTACTGATCCATGGTCAGAAATTATAGAGCTTCATCCTCGATCAATTCCTGTTCTTTCTCTTCCCTTCCTTTTCCTTCCATCCATCCTTTCTTCCGTCCCTCCTTCCCTCCCTCCCTTCATTCTTTCTTTCCTTCCTTCCTTTGTTCCTCCTTTCTTCCTCTGTCCCTTCCTTCCTCCCTTCCTTCTTTCCCTCCCTCTTTCCTTCCTTCCTTGTAGCTCCTCCTGTCACTGACTTAAGGAGTTAAATATCTGGGTGCCCTACATCATGATCTATTTTTAACATTTTAGTAACACATGAAAAACTCACATTGAAATGAGTGTGTTTGGGTAGAGTTATTTATTTATATGGACCACAGACTCTCCAAGGAAAGATTCTAAAATTAGAGCAGAGGTAAGGTTTTATAAACAGTATTATGGCAGGTGCATCATGACTCTTTCTTCTTATGTTTCTAAATTAGAATAAATGTAAAGTTTATCAATCAAATTTGTTTCATTATTAAAGTGTACAGCAATTCACACCGACTGAATTACATCTTTCCTAAAGCAATGTCGATGTTAATATTAATTTTTTTAAAGATTTATTTGAGAGCAAGAGAGCGAGCGCACAGGGTGGAGGGGCAGAGGGAGAGGGAGAGAGAATCTTAAGCAGACTCTATACTAAGCGCAGAGCCCAATGTGGGGCTCATCTCACAACCCTGAGATCACAACCTGAGCTGAAACCAAGAGTCAGACGCTTAGCCAACTGTGCCACCCAGGCGCCCCAATGTTAATAATAATTTTAATTTAATATTACTTTTAATACTGATTAATATTAATTTTCTGTTATATTAATTTTAAAGCTCTGGTATATCTTATAGAAAACTACTGGGAATATTAATTTAGGAAAAGCGCATGTTCAATAGATATTAATTTACAAGAACATTTCCTTTTCTTCCATCTCATAAGATGTTAAGGAAGTAGCCATGATTAAACATTTTTTAATATAAAATGCTTGTACATGCCAAGTGCTCAGAAATATTTTTTTAATTTGTTCAGTGAAATCAAGGGTATGAACATCTGCATGTGAAAGTAAAAACTGTTCTTAATTAGCATTTTCTCATTTATTTCCCCCTCCGTCAGTGGTTCTCAGTCAAGGGTGACTTGACCCCCCAGGGAACATGTTGACAATGTCTGGAGACATTTTTGATTGTTTATAATGGGGGGTGCTACTGATACCTATTGGGTGAGGCCAGAGATATTGCTAAACAACACCCCAGCAACAAGATTTATCGTGTCCCAAATGTCAATACTGCCGAGGTTCAGAATCTGGCCCTGTACTCAAAGCCAATACTAAGGACCACAGACATCAGAACCACTACAGTTCTCAAAAAGGCAGATTCCTGGGCCCCACCTTTACCTACTAAGTCAGAACCTATGGGGGCAGGCTAGGAAAACTTTTTTAACAGCTGCTTGGTGAGCATAAGAACATGAAGGTATGAGAAATCCTAGAGATGGGAAAAGTGGGCTTTACCACCTAGTACATTCTTTTTTTGTTTGTTTGTTTGTTTTTTGAGAGAGAGAGAGCCCGTAGGAGGGGCAGAAGAAGGGGGAGAGAGAGAATCTTAAGGAGGCTCCATGCTGAGGGCAGATCCTGATGCACAACCCTGAGATCATGACCTGAGCAGAAATCAAGAGTTGGACCCTTAACCGACTAAGCCCCCCAGGTAGCCCATCACCCAGCACATTCTTATGGGTATATCACATCATATATCTCTTAACATGATAATGATTATTAGAGCTGAGAATATTTTATGAAAGAAGCACATTTAGTCTCCTAGATGCACTTTATTTTTTTTTTTAAGATTTTATTTATTCAGGGGCGCCTGGGTGGCTCAGTCATTAAGCATCTGCCTTCAACTCAGGTCATGATCCCAGGGTCCTGGGATCGAGCCCCGCATCGGGCTCCCCGCTCCGCAAGAAGCCTGCTTCTCCCTCTCCCACTCCCCCTGCTTGTGTTCCCTCTCTCACTGTGTCTCTCTCTGTCAAATAAATAAAATCTTAAAAAAAAAAAAGATTTTATTTATTCATTTGTGAGAGAGAGAGAGAGAGCACAAGCATGGGGAGTGGCGGGCAGAGGGAGAAGCAGGCTCCCCACTGAGCAAGGAGCCCGATGCGAGACTCGATATCAGGACCCTGGGATCATGAACTGAGCTGAAGGCGGACACTTAACTGACTGAGCCACCCACATGTCATCTAGATGCACTTTAGAAGCACATTCAAAGCAAAGAAAGGGCTACTAATTCTGTGAAATAAAAAATCTACCTGCGATGTGTAAATGTTAAATGCTCCCAAAGCCCTATATCATCTAGGACACAAAACCTATGGAAATGTTGCTTAGCAGAAGAACTCAGGATTTCTTTTGTTATGTCAAAATGTACATTTCTGCTCATTTTGCATCTGCCATGCTGCTGACCCACTTTAAACTGTGCCCTGAGCAACAGTGGCCTCCAGGGAACCCAAGAAATACAAATATACTTACTAAAGAAACATCAAAGGTAAAGGTTAGTTTCTGGGAAAGAAGTCAGCCTAGACACAGTTTGACAAAACCTCTTCTTTCTCTCTTCTCAAACTGAGCAAAATGAAATCCAAATCCAGCAAATACTGGTCTGTCAGTAGCTACATGCCTCCAACCTTAGAGAAGAGTAGTAGTTGAAAAAAAGACTTGTGAGTGGCTCAGAGAGGTGACTTGCAAACCCAAAGGAGGGCAAAGACTGGCCCATTATAAAAGAGAATTTGCCACTTCCTCCTAGCAAGGAGAAACATTGAAAAGCATCAGCTGGATGTAATCCTCGTATGTTAAATGTGTCCCCCTGAAAATAAAGGTTTGCTAAGAAAAAGGAGGAAGAGGAGGAGGTGGGGGCAGCAGGAGGGCAAAGGAAACAAAACCAACACCAAAAAGGCTGGCCCCCATCAAACCAATAGCCCTAGATCTTAGGGCTTTCCCACCAAGCAACAGGTAAAGTCATTGGAAATTTAGGAACAATCCCAACCCAAGGGCATTTCCATGGGACCAGATGTACCACTGAAAATCTAAGAGAAGAAAAAAACAGGGGAAGTATTTGCAACATATATAACAATGAGTTACTATCTCTAATATGTGAAGAGTTCTTACAAATCAATAAGAAAATCACTAAATACCCAATAGAAAAAAAAATAACCTAGTAGTTTATAGATGAATAAGTATAACTGGCCATGGAACTTAAGAAAATATGCTCAAACTCTTCATAATTAAAGAAATGCAAGTGAAAATATTGCGACAATATATTTTGCCTGTGAAATTGGTAAATACATAAAAACACAAATTTTACTTATTTTTGGTGAGGGAGTGATGAAAATTAAGTGACTGTTATACTCCGTTGATGGGAATATACATTGACATTAATAAATTGGTAAATTCAGAAGACAAATTGGGGCTATCTCTTGAGATAAAAATGTTGATACACTGCTCAAGGGCAATTCACTTTGGGAATTCAGAAGTTTATGAAATCTATGGAGTCAGATGAAAGATTGGGGTGGTGGGGAGAAGTCAGTGAATGAGAAATTCCTGATCACCGATAAGGCCCAAAGAAAGAGAATATTTAACATACACTTTTCGAGTCATTTGCTGTGCTGTGTTTTGATATAAGTACTTCTGGTAACCTGTAAACCTCTTAAAACAGCATTTGTTTGGAGAACCAAAGGCAAGGGGCTTGTATGAGGCTTGGTACAGGGTGGGTATCAGGCAAGATGGATGCGAAATGAAGAAGTCAGACAAAATAAGAAATCAGAACAAGAAGTGACCAGAAGAACTACCCCCCCACACACACCCCCTGCTACTTGAGTTCATCACTTGAGTTAAAAGCCCATAAAAATAGTGGGGTGGGCACTGGACATCTTCCACTTTGTCAGTAGGAGTTCAAATAATTTTACTTTAAGTATAAAAGGAAAGATTTATCCCTGCTGGCTTCACGACTTGGGAT